GGTGGACTGAAAGTGAATCTAGATGCCTTCTGGTTGGCAGTACAGATCCTTCCCACTAAACCACCGTTAGAATAACAAGTGAAAAAGGATCTAATTCCTAAAGCAATAGACAATGATGTAAATTTCAGCACTCTGTGCTTGGCAGCATAGCTAGCTTTCTCACTGGACCAGATGTGCATTATGTGTGGCTCAGACCAGCTATGATTAACCAGTAATTCTAGCCATTCTGGAAGCTAACTTCAGCAATGCTTCTTTATTAAAATCTTTGTGCTGAAAACAAGAATCTATTTATGTTGCATAGGACTTGAAGCACTAGCTGCAAAAGATCAAGGACTGCAGCCTTAAATATAGGTGACATTTCAACATCAAGAAAACAAAAATCTTCACCACCAAGCCAATAGGCAGCATCATGATATATGGAGAAAATACTGAGGCTATTAATGATTTCATCTTGCTCCAATCCACTATCAACATTCTTGGTACCAGTAGTCAGAAAATCAAAAGATGGGTTGCATTGGGAAAGTGTGCTGTCAAGGAACTCTCCAAAGTTCTACAGAGCAATAATGTCAGTCTGAAGACTAAAGTGTACCTGATCAAACTGCTTGCTCTGCACCTGAAAGCTGGATAATAACTAAGGATGACAGAAGAATCAATGTCTTTGACCTGTGGTACTGGAGATGCCAAGAACAAACAGGTCCATCCTGGAGAGGAGGATACCAGGTTCTTTCTAGGAGACAAGGATTTTGAAACTTTTTCTCACATACTTTGGGTATGTTTTTTAGGAGGGGCCAGTCCTTGGAGAAGGACATTATGCCTTAAAGGGTAGGTCAGTGCATGAGAGGAAGACCCTGGATAAAATGAATGGACATAGTGACTGTGGCAATGGGTCAGGTGTTGTCAGAGATGGTAAAGATGGCTCAAGATGATTGTTGTTCATAGGCTAACTATGATCATAGTCAACTTGAAGTCACATACCAACAACATAACTAAGAACTCAAATGGGTAATTTAGAAACTTAAAGAAGAATGGGACTTAGCTTAACTTATAGGGAGCTCTGGTGGCATAGTGATAAGAAACTGAACTGCAAAGGCATGTGGTTAAAATCCACCAGCTGCTTCGTGGGCAAAGGATGGACAGTCTCCTCTGCGATCAACTGCCTCTGAAAACCCACTGACGGGGCAGCTATGGATGGAACTCAACAACAACAAAGTAGAATGTTACAAAATAGATCTTAATATGTACAACTGAGCAGGTGGAATCAGAACAGAGGCACTGAGCGCTCAACTGTTCAAGTCTGGAGAAATGGTGACCTTGAAACAATGACGAAAACTCAAACCATCAAGGAATATCTCATGAAGTCTTGGAATATTCTTACCATAGTCCTCATCAAATATGGCTGTGAAGGTTAGAGACCAGGGTGGCACAGCTATCTGGATTCAAGAAGACTACACACCATCCCAGATCTGAGACATGGAGCTAGAAGGAATAATGCAAAGATGCATTTGAGGTAGGCATGAACATCTTTCACAAGCAGAGTTCACAAGCAGAGTTCACAAGCAGAGTCAGCTGGAAGGCTTTTATTGATTACAAACTCTAATATACAAGCTTTATGACGTGAGGGTAGGATTTTTATGTTTTGATCCTGGATGTGTCCCTAGCACCAGGAAGTGTCTGGCACAGAGCAGGCAGTCACTATGAGTAAAATAAGAAAATTGTAAATTAGGATGCCGTTGTAAATTAAGGATGTTGTGTTCTGTTGAGACAGAACTGACCCATAGCAGACTCTCTTGCAGATTTTCACAAACAGTTAACTGCTTGAAAGTAGACTGCTCATCCTTCTCTCACATGCAGTAATGCGTATGAAAATATATAAATGAGATGTATTAATAACAAAGGGGAGCTCTGGTGGCCTAGGAGGTAAGAAGTGCTGTCAACCCAATGGCAGGTAGTTCAAATCCACCTGCTGTTCCGAGGGACACTCTCCTCCCTTGCAATTGACAGCTTCTGAAAACCCACTGGAGGGTCAGTTATCAGTGTGTTCCAATTCACTAGCCCATAACAGCTAGTACTTTGTTAACAGCTAACAAAAACATCAAATCCCTGGTAATTTATATGCACAGCCAAAACCATAATTATATCAAGCTATTCAAGCTATTGAGATTTCAGTGTCTATTCTACGAAGTTTTTGCTCATATCTTTTTTTTTAAATTTAGGTTATTTTTCATTTCAATGAACATCTACAGAGATTTTGGGATTCCATTCATTCATTGTTGCACCCTTCTCCCCGCACAAACCCCTCCCCCCTCATTTGCTCCTTGCTCATATCTTTTAATTTCAGTGTTCATAGTTATAATACATTTCCAGTAACTTTAAATCAAAGTATCTCTAATAATTCATACATTTGGATAGTATTTGATTGCTTTCAAAGTTAAAAAGGCCTAGAGGGAAAAGAGAACTTAATATAAAAAAGATGTTTCTCAATGTTATTATGGGAGATTATAATCACCATCTATTATAGGTATATCATATGAGAGGAAATCTATACCATGACATTTTAAGATCCTTAATATATATAGTTTTGTTGTTATAGTATGAATGGAACTCATGAACCCCAAGGTGACCCTCCAGTGAATTTTTAGAGGTTATAAACTACATGGTAGGTTACACATCCTTCTCCCTCAGAACAGCTAATGGACTCAAATCACCTGCCATTGGGTTGGATGCAACCCCTTATTCATTAGATCACTTGAGCTCCTGTATACTACATATTCATTATTATTTTTATTAATGTAAACAAAAACTCCACAAAACTAACTTATACAACAAAAAACTTAAACAATGAGTTTGGTTAGCTGGATGGTATAGTCATTCCATAAATTATAAAATTTATGAATTTTATATTGTCTTTCCATTCATTCAACTTACCTGTTTACTAATTCTTACTCGCTTCTCTTTCCTAGCTCTCAGCCAGCCACTGGTTTCAATGGAACACTAAGGTACCTTAAGAGCACAATATGGGAAGGGACTGTGGAAAGGTTGGTAGTTTGAACCAACCAGCCACTTCGTTCAGAAAAGTAGCCCTGCCGCATTCAGGTTTCACTTTTACTTAGTCTAGTCCATTAGGCCTGGGAAACACAATGGAGGATTGCAATGAATCACAATCAACTTGGTGGCAGCAGGTTTTTAAAATAATGCTGACCGTTCATTGAACTAAAAAAAAAAAAAATCATGCTGACCTTAATACCTTATTTGGGTAAATATTAATAGGCCTGAGAAAAATAAGGAAAATTACTATTATGTATAAGATTATGGTGATTGTTACCTTCCTATTCCTGTATTTTCTGAGTTTGTTAGTGGCTGTAGGTTTTTAAGTTAGAAACATATTTTAAAAGTGTGTTATTAGGACTGGGAATCTGCTATTGTTTTCCAGTTTCTGAAGCTTGGTAGTCCATGTGAGGAGATATGCAGGAATGCCAGTTTGACATGGTAGTAAGAAGAACAAGACACCGGGTAACTCAAACACGACTGATGGGGCTTGTTCAGTAGTATTTAGCAACACTGCAAACACTAGGAACACTCTCTACATGTATGGCTTAGGAAAAACTGCTTGAAAACATTTGAGAATTTTACACAATTTATTTAATAAACCAATTACAGATACAAAAAAAGTTTAGAGGGATTCCAAAATTTAAATTTTTGTTTAAATACAAATTCACTTTGTAACATGAAAGCATACATTACACCTCTAAACATAATGTCTTTTTCATCTACAAAAATTTCTCTTTGTCATATTAGAAAATTTGAAGGAAACAATTTTTCTTGAGAAAGTAAATATACATTATTTACAGATGGAAAAGCAATCTAAAAACTGTATCATGTCAGGCACTTGGGTATATATGTATCCATCTTTGTATTCATTTTTCTCCCTTTACCCACAAGAAAAAAGTGATCCAAAACATAAAGCAATTATACCTTAGTAGCAACAGACAACATGGCCAGACTAGCCCAAGGCTCAAGTTGTTTTCTGGGCCCTTAAGGAAGGTCTTTACCTCTTTCACAGTGGCAGTGTATCATTAAGCATTCAGCAACAGCCCACAATGGCCTATGGAGGGTTTAGGAAGAATTTAAATTTATAGCAGATCTCACTGGTGATGAAAAAATGAATTTTTGTGGAGCCAAAACCTTCTGTATCTTAGCTATATTTACTTTAGGGTAAAACCTAATAATTTTTAATTTATCTGAATTTAAAACACGGAGTTAAGATAATAAAATGAGAAGGGAAAAATATGTGATCACCTACTACAGTCCAATATATCTTTTCCTTTTTTTGAGCAGTACTGAGGCCAAGAAAGATTAAACGGCTTGCTCGAGGTTACAGTTAATTAGTGGGAGAGCCATTCTTAGGTGAAAGCTTTTATAGTACCTGCTTTAGGAAATAATTTTATAGCATTGTAGGTTCAGTCACATCATAGACATGTTTTGATTTTTAATGTTCTATTTTACATATCCATAGCTCACAGTGCAGCCAACAAAGTCAATGTAAGTGAACTATAATTTTAATAAAACATAAAACATTTTTTTTGCATTTGAAAGAGTCAAGACTTAACATAAATGTGGAATGAAAATACTTCTTATATAAATTTCCTGTTACCTTACATTTAAGTAGCTATTTACAAAAGAATCAGAAAAGCTATCAAAATGTAAAATTAGAAAATTTTAAAATGCTTATGATGTAACAACTGAAAAAAAATCTCAAAAGAATGTTTTCATAGTATAAAATGTCCAGTCCTTCACAATTTAATTTTCAAACAGTTGGTGAAAAAACTAACACACTTGGGTTTTCCTTCCCTCATCTAACAAAATCAAAATTAACTCTAAATTATTTTAGAAATTTAACTATAAAAATTAGGAACTGGTTGCATTTGTCATAGAATCAGATAGTTTGCAAACTGGAAATGATCCATTAAAAAGAATCTTCCGTGATTTATTTGGTGCAGTACTTAAAAGGAGTTGGGTTCCAGCAGTTCATTCTGTTTCACAGCTACCTGAGAGGTCAGTGCACTGGAACTGGACACCACCATCACATAAGGCTGGGCCTGATGCTCAGTTTTCTCAGTGTCTTCATTCAAATTATCCTCACCCTCCTTTTTCACCACTTCCTGTATGAGAGTTTTTGTATCTTGAGCTTTAATAACTGAAGTAATGACAGTGCCAGGAGGGTGAGCAACCAGTTGTGAGCTTCGAGGGGAAAAGGTCACCACAGGTGTAGTGGCACTGAAGGACGGAGATGAAGCCATACTGCTGGTTCCATTGCAAATGGCCTGAACGCTACTATTAAGAACCTGCTGTACAGGGCTGAAGACAATCGAAGGTGGAGAGCCTGGCTTCGGTGACTGAAGCATGACATTTTCTTTCAGTACAGTCATGGGCTGTGAGGACGGAATGGCTTGTAAAATAAACTTCTGTGACCCAGCACCAGACGATGGATCTGTGCTGGCTATCACAGTTGTAAGTGGCACCGTCTGGAGTGTTACTGTGTGCAACTGCTGGTTCCCTGGAGAGACCACTACTGGAACTTGGGCAGGAGCTTGGATGGTCCTATTGAGATTGAGAAACGAAAGACAGACAATTAGCGTATTCCACATCATTTAATATCTGAACATTCAGTACAAATCATTGTGACAGAAACACAAGTTAAGCATTTAAAATGGCTTTTCTTACACTTTTAACACAATGTAACAAGTATTTTTTGCCATGCCCTGTATTAAATATGATAAACACAGAGGGGTCTAACACCAAACTCTCAGGCCTTTAACTATGACACCATCTGGTGAGTCCTACAGAAAAAAGGTCTGTGCAAAGTGTCACATTAACACAAATGGGGAAGCAATTTTGTTGAGAAAAAGGGAAATATCAAAAGGCTCAGCAAAGTTATACACCAGCTGCTTGAAAGAATGTAACTGGGAATGTGAAAGCCAATGTGTTTAAGTCATCCTCATTTAAACATTTAAGGAATTAGACCACCGTGCTGTAGCTCATCTACAAGAAATGAGTTCATGTGGTTCTATCATTTTCCTAGAGTTGGAGATGAAAAATACTTATTTAAAAGTAAAACAAAAACCTTTTGTTTTAAATGTATGTGGGATGGAATTCTTAAAATGTTTAATATTTCATAGTTAAAACATTTACATAAAGCTGACTCGTAATAGAGACCTTAGGCTAGCAGATAGAACATAAAAAAATAAAGACCAGCTTTGCCAAACATAAATAGAGCTGCATTCTAGCAATTTTCTAAGCTCAATAATTTCACAGATTTTAGTCATGAATTTAACATAAATATTTTGGTGCCATTAATCTAGCATTGCCAGTTCATGTGAGGTTGTTAATCTCATTTATTGAAGAAAGAGGCACATAAATGATAACAAAAGCCAATCTAATTGTAAAAGTTCACAGCTGTGAAATTTATTGCTATGGCTACTGTTCCTATAAAACAAACTGCGACTGAGAATAAACCTAAGCATCTGGGTGGCAATTGTGTTTCCTTGGAATTTGGTACAGCTATTTTACGAAAAGATAGATGATTGCTACTTCAAATGGGTAACAGACTAGTTCCCATAAACATAATGGTAATTATTGCCAGTAGAATATTAAAGCTAAACTGTAGTAACTTACTGATAATATGGCTTGTCAATTTAAATTCTAGAGAAGAAAAAAAATGGGCTAAGTAGGGAGCTCAGCTCACAGGTTCAAATGAAGTGGGAAGGCAAGGGTGAATAGAGCACATTCATTCATTTCGGATTCCCACATTCAGGCTGTCTCCCATCACCATTATGAAGATCAGGATATTAGCAGCTCTTTTTCAACGACAGGGCTAAACAGATGTGCGCTCACTAACAAGGATTTAGTAAGGGAGCAGGGCATGGCTAAGGAACCCGGGCAGTGCAGTGACGAACTTGGCTACTAACCAAAAGGTTCGCAGTTCAAACCCAGCAGCTGCTCCCTGTAAGAAAGAGGAGGCAGTCTGCTCCCATAAAGATAACAGCATGGAAGTCCTGTCCTAGACGATTGTTAGGAGTCAGAATTGACTGACAGCAGCCGGTTTTGGTAGGCTTTATAGAGCCCTTGGGTGGTACAAACCACTAACATTCTTGGCTGCTGGTGGTTCAAATCTACCCAGAGGAGCCTCAAAAGAAATGCCTAAGGATCTACTTCCAAAAAACCAGTCCCTGAAAATCCCATGAGCTCTATTACATTCTGACATACCAGGGATCACCATGAATGGAGACTGTCACTTAGCTAAGGCCATGGCCAGGCATAAAGGCCAGACACAATAATGACTGCACAGCTAGGGGTGAGACAGGAAGAAACACAAACTGCCTGGCAGTTAAAGTTTCACTCCCACAACCTAGGCCATCTCAGGTGAAATTTGAGCCATATAGCTAGATCAACATTTTTTTTTTTTTCAAATGAGTTGGTGTAATTCCAGGTGGTACAGAATTCTGGGCATAATGAAGGATGAAGATTCTGACAGGATTCTGGATTCCATTTACTTTGACTGCACAGACAGCTAAGATTGGAATGGCTGAATGAGAACTGGAGATGGACCATCATAAGGTTTCTTCTTCACTGTTTCACAAAGTTTCCTCTTAAATGTACAACAGGCTCCAAGACAACACTTCATTTTAACTACAGGTGGTAAAAGATGTTACAGCAGAGAATCCAGATGTTTTAAAAAAGAACGGAAGTAAGGTTCATCATTGCCTCAGCCTTATTTTTTGCCAGATTTCTTAATTCCGCCCGTGGCCAGGGGACCTTTGCCTGCGGCCTTCGCTTTTAGCTCCTCGAGTTTCTTCTGTTCTTCTTTTTGTTTCTGCTTGAAAGCCTTATCTTCCTCGTCCATCTCCTTGGTCTGCTTCTTGGGTTGTTTCAGGGGCTTCTTCTTACCACCTTCGCAGCCAGACATGGCGCCGGCCGCCCCTTCCCCAGACCTGCCGCCGAAAGTTGAGGTCCCGAGCCCCGATCAACATTTTTTTAACACTAAAAAAAGACCCAAGAGGTTCTTGTAACACACAAATACACACAGACAAAAGAGGGCTTAGCATACAGTCAGCACAGATGGTATCTATAAAAATGCAAGCCTTGCTGAATGAGATAAAATTTAGAAATCAATGTAACATACAGTAGGTTGTTCTAAGTACTTTCATATTACAATAACCATGTAATACAATGTTTCCATTTTCATATGAGAAAACTGATGCACAAAGAAGCTTGCAAGAGGTTGTATAAAGTGACCAGTTATATAAGAGACCATCTGACTGCAAGGCCTATGTGCTTAACCACAGCCACCAGTTAACTTCCACAAGAGCAGACTATTTATTATTATCCTTTACTGTAGTCAATTACAAGTGTAAATCTTCAGTACACACCTTACCCTTCCTTGCTCACTTGCTCAAATGTGACATAAGCAATAAATTGCCTGGAAATTTTCCATTAATTGATAGTTAGGGTTACCACTAGCTTATATTTAAAAAATGGTATATTTTTTCTTAAAGAACCTGACTGCCATCTTCCAGCAAAAAAACCCCCTACACATAAAGATACTTATAATATTTATTATAGAAATCTTTAAACAAATTCTAATACAATTTTTGCTAATAAAATATTTAGTGATTAAAGAATAATATATTGTGTAGCCTCCCCACCCACTGAAATTTTCAATTTTTTACTTAATGATTAAATTTTCAGTTTAGTCCCATGGGCTATATTATTATTAACTGCTTCTTAAAAATTCTATGCTTCTTATAACCATTCAATGCATGTAATTTATCAAATTTCCAAAGGATTAAAAAAAATGCAATATAGTATTTCACACTTTTTCAAATATCTGCTTATCTGTTAGGAAATGTCATTTAATCATCACAATCACCTTTAAGGTCAAGTTTAATTACCCTTATTTAACAGATGATGAAACAGGTTCAGAATAGTTGCTGTGAATCAGTGCCAGATCTAATAACTCGCAAGGCTAGAAGCTCGGAGAATTATGACTGTGCCCTTTCAGCCCCATCATACTGCTCATCCAGTAAATTACAGGTTATACCTTTTTAGAGTCTAATCAATTTTAAGACTCTAAAGAAAAAACACTGCCTGAAGAAACAAAGAAATATGATAAATATTTTTACATACAGACATCAACCAAGTTTACCAAGGTACAATTTTAGGAAAGTAATTTACTAGAGTTTCATTTACTCTTCATTTCTAGTAATATGTAGCCAGAATCACATTTAAATTTGCAAAAGTGAGTAAAATACATAAATATAAAACCAATGCAAAAACAAAACAAAAAAAAGAGAGCAAGAGATTTAATTAATCTCATCCTGTTGACGGTGCCATGATTAGGTTCAACTCATGGCAATTCTATGCACAACTAAACGAAATACGACATGGTCCTACACTAGCCTCACAATTTTTTTTCGAATACAGTTTTATTTTAAAAAATAAAATTTAAAGTTTAAGAATGGTTAGAAGCTGACTTTGTCAAAGGGAAGATGACCCATTTTCTTCCTTTAGAACCTCCCAGGGTAGGCAGAGCCCACTAAGACTTATTCCCATTGTGCATGGGTCGGCTGATACCAGTTTCCCATGATTCTAAAAAACCCACCAAAGAACATGAACCTATAAACAAAAACCTCCTAGAAAGGCAGGTCAGATATCTAAGCATCTGCAACCCACTAAGTGTAACTTTAAGCTCAAAGACAGGTCTCTAGAGTGAGCAGCAACACTTTTTAAGACAATCAACCATTTAACATTTAAGGGTAGCATTTGCACCAAGAATAAACCTTAAAGGCAAGAATAGATAGGAAAGGAGATATAGAAATGGTGTCCTTGTAGAGACTGCAAACACTGTCACACAAAATGCAAACTGTTGAATGGGAAAGGAATTCTAGAGTTCTACCCATTGCCACAGCATCCTCCGATGTTCTTGTCTCTGGCTGTTATCATCACAATTTTTAATATGCTACAGCTCACTGTTTCAGCCACTGCGTCAATTACACTGAGAATCTCTTCCTGTATCACTGACCCTCCACATGTGTCCTTATTGTTATGCACCATCAAGTTGGAAACAACTAGTAGCTGACCCTTCAGCAGGTGTTTAGAGGAAGGAAATCACATGGCAGGAGACTGTCCATCGTTGTATTTCAGAGCAGCTGGTGGATTTGAACCATATGCCTGTGGGAGGCAGCACAACTTCTTATCACTAACCCACCAGATATATACAATTACCTGAGATGAAGCAAAGGAAACAAACGGAAATGTAGTTAAAAAGTGGTAATTTGTGTTATTTACGTACATCAGTAGGCGATATAGTATGGCATTAAGTGCACTTGCCTAGGGCTAAAGGCTTACCGTAAATACTAGCTGAATACTGTTATTCATCAGATGTAAATACTAATTGAATACAGTTATTTACCAGATGTAAATACTAGCTGAATACTGTTATTTACCAGATGTGACTGTCTCGATTTCGTCTGTCTACACATTAATGAGGGAGCTCTGGTGCTTCTTGTTGTTGGGTGTTGTTGAGTAAGAACTAACTAACA